GAATGAATGAAAAATATGTCTTTCCTCCTATATAAATTCAATGTGTGTGTGGTGCAAAGTATAAATGTATATAAAAAAATATAAAAATATATCTTTCCTCCTATATAAATGCTATAATGTATGTAAGCTGCAAAGTATAAATGTATAGAAATAAAATATAAATGTATTTGCCTTCCTATATGAATTAAATTATAGTAATCCTATCCAATGTAATTATAAAATTGAACAGAATAAATGAATTAATATAATAATAAAATAAAAGTGTGTGGAAAAAAGAAAAAGCCAAAAAGGTATTCTGAAATCCCTCTTGCTAGGCTAGGCTAGGGTAGCAAGTAGGAAATCCTTCAAAAGATCAGTGCTAGGAGCATTCATTGTCTAACGCTGCTGAGCTGCTGGAACACGCATGTCAGTAACTGACACCAAGGCAGAAAGCAGGGCAGTTTAAACAATGCTCCTTTTATGCTGTTTTCCCATCCCTCCCCCAGAGGTCTGTGATTAGAAGGGACCTCAGGGAAGGGTGACAGTCACTGGCCAGCTACACAGTCAATATCAGAGCGTTACTTCCCCTTTCATCCCCCCTCTTCCCCCTCCCTCTCCTTACTTTCTGTTTCCCTGCAGGCAAGTCCAGCTTCAGCTTGGAAACTCGAAACATCTGGAAACTTTTGAAATGTTTTGACTGCCCTCGTTTCATTTTGAGGCTGTTTTGAAGCCCTCTGTTTCATTTCTATTTTGCTGTTTCGAGCTTGAAATGAGTCGAAACAGCGTCAAAATGAAACAGCCGGCGAAGGTTCACATAGCCCTAGTTGGCATAGTACATGTGGACTTCCAAAAAGCCTTTGAGAAGGTTTCCCATCAGAGGCTCTTAGGGAACGTAGGTTGTCATGGGATTACAGGGAAGGTCCACTAGTGAATTAGAAATTTGCTTAAGGATAGAACACAGAGTGAGTATAAATGTAAAGGATGGCAAGAAGTAAACAGTGAAGTCCCCCCAGGGATCTGTGTTGGGACCAGTGCTTTTTAACATATTCATAAATGATCTGGAGAAAGGGGTGAGTAGCAAGGCAGCAAAATTTGCAAATGACACAGGTAAAGACCAAGGCAGACTGCAAGGAAATACAGAAGGGTCTGGCATGAATGGGCAACTAAATGGCAGATGAAATTCAATATAGATAAGTATAACATGATGCACATGGGCAAAAATAACCCAAACTATACCTAAATTATGATGGGCTCTGCACTAGCTGTTATAACACAGCAGGGATATCTGGGAGTAATTGTGGATAGTTTGCTTAAAACATCTGTAGCCATCAAAAAGACAAACACAATGTTAAGGATTATTAAGAATAGAATTGTAAACAAAATGGAAAGCATCATTATTCCCTGTTATAAATCTATGGTGTGTCTACCACTTGAATACTGTTCCCAGTTTTGGTCTCCGCACCTCAGAAACGATGTAGAAGAACTAGAGAAGTTATTAGGTGGAAAACTAACAAAAGGAAGTTCTTTTTCACACACCATTTAATTAAAGTGTGGAACTCATTTCCACAAGATGTTGTGGAAGGTGACAGTTTAATCAGATTCAAAAAGGGATTGGACAAATTCTTGAAAGAAAGGTGCATTAATAGGTATTGAACATGGGAAGTAGGTAATCAGTAGGTATTGAACATGGAAGAGCCTCTGAATCAGACCTTCCTAGACCTTAATTACTGGAGGCTGCAAATGGGAGAAGAACAGTGGAAAAACTGGTCATACTGTTCTATCTCCCTTTCAGCACATCCACTCCATACTACTGTGTGATACAGGATCCTGAATACAATGGACCTATGGTCTGACTCAGTAAATGACAGTCGTTATGTTTTTATCTTCTTCTGTTCTAGAACAGAGAAGATATTAATGGGGGGAGGAGGGAACCTTGAAAATAGCTCAGTAATTTAAAGTATTTACAGAGAAGCAAGTATGGAATCTGAATATCTTTCTCTTTGTAATACAACCCCTTTTATTGAAAAGTTGAAATGCTGCAACAATGATTCTATTTCATCTTGCAATGGTGTTAATTTTTTTTGGCAAAAAACATGCATTTGTGTTGCTGCTTTTCAATATTTCCTATTTAAATATTGCCCTCATTATATGGAGTAAGTGTAGTAAAATGGTGCATCATGTAGGAAAGAATTGTTTTTCACATTGCTGCTGCTCATGCAAAAAAAGAGACATTGGTTGAAAATACACATTTCTTAATGAAACAGATTTATGTTGTGATTCATATGAACTTGGCAAATATTTTGCTCCACACCAGTTTACACTACCAAAATTATGCACTGGCAATTATCAGATTATGCAAAATTTTGTGTACAGCATATAGCATTATTTTGTGCTTTTATTTAAGCAGCTCATCAAAAGGAAAGCTGCAAATCTGTCAAGATAATAAAATGAAGCTGTTTATATTTATTGCCATTTTGACAATTCATGAAAGGATATAAAAGTAACTGAAGGGAAAGTATGATATCTTGAAGGCTTAAGGTCTAATCACCGACATATCTAGTTGTTGTTTTTTTTCCAAAATGTTTGTTTGATCATTTACCGAGAGGCTCACTATTTCTTATTTAGATCCCAGCCCTTTAAGGACATATGTAGGGACTTAACTTTAAGAACATTGGCAGTCTAAGTATCTTCAAAGTATTTCTAACTCTGCCACTTACCTGTTGTGTGTCTTTGGACAAGTCACATCAGCTCTCTGGGGAATCTTTTTTTCTACTTCCCGTCCTTTTTATGTGCTGCATTTTTAGATTGTAAGCCTTTTGGGGTAGGGACTGTCTCTCTTACAGTACCTAAAACAATATTTGTTGTCTACTGCTGTTGGGGCTTTTTTTGAGCAGAGACATAGTAGTGCACCTCCATGCCCTGGGGCCTAGCCACTGCATGAGGCAGTGCCAGCTGCAATGTTACTAGTGCTGGCAGTGTGGCCAGCTGCCAAATGCAGCACCAGCTAGTTTTTGCACTTTCCAAAGAGCCCCCCTGCCACTCCCCCCCAGTTATGCTACTATGGTCCAGCCTTGGTTGCGACTCTAGACCCTATATAATGAAAAGGATAATAACCATTAAAAAAAAAAGAATATTTGTATACTTTTAAAAATAATAAAGCATGTAACTTTTACCAGAATCAGAACATTAGATCGTTTAATTCAAGTGAAATTGAATAGAATCTTTGGTCACAAAGTCAGGAAGAACCATTGTAAAAAGATAGTAGAAATTCCCATTTGTTTCACTAAAAGCAGGATTGAAGGCAAAATCCAACATTCTTAAGAGCAGTGTTCCTTTGGGTCATTTGTAAATGAACCAAAGAAATGTGGCAGTTGCTATATAAAAGTTATGGTCTATTTTTCTACTAGAGCTTTTAATGCACATGTCATAGAAACTTAGAGGGACAAATTCTGTCTGACAGCTTCTAATGTTTTTGTTCTCAGTTTTTTACATGAGGTGTCCACCTCTTCCCCACCCCATCCCAATGAGACAGACTGGAAATAGAAAGGAAAAATGGTCATACAAAATCTTGGAAATTAATTAAAGTTGGTCTAGTTTCAGGGCCTAACCCAGGAGGGGACTGAATCTCTCTGGGAGGGAGTATTCTGCCCCTCAGAGGTGTTCAGTTCAACAAAAATAATGAGTTAAAAACTCTTTAAGAGTGTTGTTTAAAATTAATTTCCAGTTTCTGTAGTAGTCACAATCACTTCTCAAGATCTAGAATAGCTATGAATAAAGTCATCTTTGAAATTCTTGGCAGTGTCCATTACATCAGAAAGTAGTGCAAGTTGGTTGCAGTACCTGTGCTAATAACAAATCATCCTCTGAAGGTGTTTTGAAAGGGGCAGTTTGTATTAAAAGCCTGCAGTTATTTCAGGACATTTGTATTGCATTATGTGAAAAAAAATGTGGACAGCTAAGCAAGATATAAACAGACTTAGTGAGTTATTTATAAAAAGAAAAACTGGAGTTCTTTCCTACCTTAGCTACGTTGTTCTGTACTGGATTGAAATGTTCAATGACTTCAGAGAATATACTTCTTTCCTTTTTCACCAGTCTATTGTGTATTTCTGGGTTTTGCATCACAGTACTATTTACTAACCTGATAATACACTGTTTTCAAATTTGGGATGTTTGGAAATTTGAAACTAGTTTGAAGAGTAGGAAAAGTTAACCAAGATAGTAATATGACAAAATGATACAGATGATGGGGCTTATAGCCAAAGCTGGAAATATGCAAGTTTGTCTGTTCTGCATCTGAGATTAAGGTGAACTAGGGATAAAATCTTCTTTATTATACAAAATAAGATTCCTTTCATATCTAAAAAAAATCCTTGCTGTATCTTTAAAATATTTTTCCTGAAGAGAAGTTTAATTTATTTATCCCCAGAGATTTTTGGTTGTAGAAAGCCCTAGCAGCCTGGTTTCTACGCTGGTTTCTACACTGAAGGAGATACTGGTGAGGCATAACTGCACTGTCATACTTCAAGTAAAGCAGCAAGAAGGTCTATGTTGATGATGAAAATGCATTTGTTCTTCAGATCTCTCTTGTTTCAGTTGTAGATGTAAGATGGGGGCACAATACATGAGGTTAGGCCTTACTTCCCTCCCTCTCTTCTGATTGTGCCATTAAGCCTTTTCATAGGATTCCGCAGGATAAGGCAGCAACATTTGTTAGTCTCCATGTGAGAAAAATGAAGTTTTTATTGGCCTTGCACAATATTTATTTATCTCTGAAATATCTTCCTTCTTGAGAAGAAATCAGGTTTTGGAGCAAATGCAGACAGCTGGGTGATGCCGATAAGATGATTAACTCCTCTCTGCTGCCATTGCATGCTGCTTTTCTTTACATTTAAAAAAAATTCTTTGTTTTATTTCTGTTTTAAAAACTGTGTTTTAAATAAGCTTTTTATGAAATCATTTCCTGCTTTCTGTGGGGTGTTTGCCTTTTCTTAAATTTCCCATATAAATCTTATTTGCAGCTGGGTCTCGGGCATCTTACAGCAGCCAGCACAGCCACCTTGGCTCCGAGTTAAGGGCGCTGCAGTCTCCAGAGCACCATATAGATCCTATTTACGAAGACAGAGTGTATCAGAAGCCCCCTATGAGGAGTCTCAGCCAGAGTCAGGGGGACCCTCTGCAACCAGCACATACAGGCACATATCGCACTAGCACAGGTAGGTGGAAATGATATGCAGAATTATCTTTTAGAAAGTCTGTTTTGTTTTTTTTTCTTTCAGTGTTAATTCTCCAAATAGTGTTGTTATCTTAGGCAAGTTATATGGTGTTTCTAAGTTTAAAAAATGCTCAATTCAAATTTTAGCTTCTATCAATATAACTTAAAAGGTACCAAAAATGTGCTGCCTTGGGTAGGAAAATCCTAGCAATGGGTCAATACATACAGAAGTTTTAATTTTTCCCCCCGGTTGGGGAGGGAAGGAGATAATGTCTTCCTTAATCTTTTAAACATATTTTAAAGATCTGATTGTTCTCTGAAAACTTTACCATGTTTCAACTGCTCAGCCTTTGTCTGTGTGTCACAGAAGGGACTCTAGTGCATCTTCTTCATGGAACTAATCGGACAGTTATATTTTTGGAAGTGAAGCAAACCAAGAGGAAATGTGTTCTCTGTCTTTCTAGCACATATATAGATACACATATAACATGCATATACTCTCACTCTCTAGATGTACAGATACGAAATTAAGCTTCAGTATAACAGACAGAGCTGTCAGGATCAGTGATTTATCTGGAATATAAAAATGAATGATCATCCATGAAATCCATTAGTATACAAGCCCTATTTTCAGTGTATCCTCTCAAGTATATAAATTGAGCTATATTTGGGAACCTAGAAGTACATAAGAAATTACCAGTGGTATTTAGTGCACTAAGAAACCAGAATATGCTATAGCCAAAATACCTTAAAACATATGTAGAGTATGCTTGCATAAGGAACTGTAATACTGACCACATTTCTGTGGCTTTTTTTTTCTGCATTGATCAGACAGAAAAGATTTTGTCTTTTCCCAAATCAGACAGAAATATTGAAGCAGAATTAAAAATATCTGTAAATAATGACTTTTTAGAATAAGGCAGCATAACTTCTTTAGGATTTTTTTATGGATCACTGTCATGTTCCTTGCACAGCCCAAGCTTCTGTTGCAGCTGTGGGTGTCTGGACTATGCTAAGAGGGTAAGATGAAATCCATGGAAGTGATTCAGAGAAATGCAACAAACATTTTTTGCCTAATTTAATTTTTTGTAATTGTCACATAGGCCTGAAGAGTAGTAGTTAGTTAATAGAGTTACTCTTTAATGAGAGCAGCCAGCATTAGGGTCCAGTGGGGGCATCTACACTAGCACTTTACTGCCTAATTAGCTCTGCAGTAAAGCGTCACTGTCTACAAGTGTGACACTCCTAGGCCTGAGTAAACTACTTAACTATGCCTCAGGATAGTACTACCCAACACAAGAACTATCCTATGGCAGAGTTATTTACTCTACTGCAATGCATGTATAAACGGAATGACGGTGACCAAGGCTGGCTGGGGCACAAGTGCTTCAATGCAGGGGCTGCCTGCCAACTAGCCCTACACTGTAGCATCTTTGCACCCCAGCCAGCCCCTCTGTAACATGTTGAGCTGGGGTGGAGCAGCTCCGGCCTGGCAAGCTGACCCCTCAGACTCACTGCTGGTTGGGTCTGTGCCGCCACAGCTCACCAAGTTGAAGTCCTGGTCTCACCTGTCAATACTGTGCCTGGGAGCAATAAACTCTGGCGTGGTCTGTGCTACAGTTTATTCAGGCACACTCATTTCATGTGTGGATGCACCCATTATGTTTTGTGGGGTCATGTTTATATTCAGACATAATATCTATGGTAAAAGAATCCTTAGGTTCCAGTGTATAGCACAGGGTCTCTGCACCAACTGCTGAGCAGCTGCGCAGCAATCAATGAATGAGACAGCTGTTTAATACTGTTGTTTATGCTCTTCAGGGCACACAGCCTTATGTTTTCGACACCACATTCTTTTCAAACCTTGCCCTGAAGAGGAATTTCTTTTATAATGTACATACTTTTTCTCTGGCACTTATCACTGTAGTATCTGAAAGCTTTGCAACTGTTAGTAGATTTATCTTCACAATTACTTCTGTGGGCAGGGTCTTCTGACTCTGAATAAAACTGTCATAATGTGGCACAGAGCTCAATTGCTTGGTCTTTTTTCCGAAGTGTTGACCTATTGCAGTCCATGAGACTAGTTAATGCTCAGTCCCTCGAATATCTGACCCAGGTTCCCACCTGTCTGACATGGAGACAAGATGACTAGAACTGAGACTTAAAATTTAGCATGGCTTCAGGCCTACTTGAAAATCTCACCCACTATGAATGAGCCGGGGAACTGGTTGTATAACAAATGTGGTAGGGGCTACAAGGAGAGGAGGGAGGGGTTTGTAGTCATGGCACTATATTGGATCTTATGAAGTCTGGTTACTCTTCCTACATTTTCCCCATGGACTTATATCCCCCATTCAACAGAAGTATGTATAGTTATATAATTAAAAATATTTGTTCCCATGTGGGCTGAATAAGGGAGAAGATGGCAGCCTTAAATTGATCAATCAGGTCAGTTCCTAACTTCTGATGGCTTAACTTGAGGAGTAGCGAGACATAACATTTATCATATGTTAAGGAGCTTAAAAGCAGAATAAAAAGTGGGTAGACAGGTGATGCACAGTGCTATATGCTTGGGGTAGGTCTGTACTGCGTCTTCACTGCTGCTGGGGGTATGTACTCCAAAGCATGCCCTTCCTACTTGTCCCTACTCACACAGTCCAAACCTGGAAATTCAGAGGTAGAGCTACACATAGGGAGTCTCTCCATAATTGTTCTCAAGCCCCTTGTTTCTGGTATGCTTGCAAGTAGCTGGAGGGGGACCCACCCCTGCAGCAACTTCACCACATTTCCAGGTTTGGTGTGCACAAGAGGCATACTCTGAGGATATGCAGTGGCTTGGACCAGACCCTCAGCATTCTCTTAATATAGGGTTGAGTGTGAGACTTTTTTAGGGAGAAAGGTAGCAAGGGTTGCTTGGCTTTTTTAAATGGAATTTTAAAAATGTTTAGAAAAGAAATACCAACTTGTGTGACTACATGCTAGACCAGGGGTTGGCAATCTTTTAACAATGTCTGGCCATCAATTCTTCCCTGTCACCAGGTGTTTTTCCCTTCAGATCGCCTTGTCAGCTTTACATCTCTACCTACTCTTCATAGACAACTATTTATTCATTTTTTAGAACTAAATGCATAACCAAATTAAAGCAGTCACAGGACTGTTGAGATAATAGTCTGCTGTTTCACTACATTCATGCATCAAAACTATTTTTCTTTTTAATGGAACTTTAAAATAAGAAAGCCACCTCTGAAAATTTTTTAAAAACAAAAACTTTTGTAAATGACCCTTCAGAATGGAAATGTTTCACCAGCCTTAAAATAGCTATTCTACATGCTGGGACTTTTAGGGAGATTATTACATTTGGGATCATGATTACAGATCCATACTTGCGTTGATTTTTTTCGGTGGTGGGCTGAAATTCATGATACTGTATTGATGTCACCTGGGGTTATGACTAACTTGCTTATACAAACAGGTGTAGCATGTGGTCAGAATGTTCATTATGTTACCAGTGGATGAAATTATTACAGAATGAAATGTATGACACTTATAATCTGCACTGAGTCATATGTTCAATGGGGTCAGAAAGTGTGCAGAGAACAATCAGAGTTCACTGCAAAATCTTCCCCTTTAGCACATTTTTCTTAGGGGCTGATAGATTCTTCATTGTGCATAATCTTCAAGTCAGGACTGGATATGTATCTGCACAATATGCTACAGTTCAAACAGATGTTACTAGTTTATCACAGAGACTTTAGGACAAGGCATTTTCTGTCTTGTTTTGTAGATCAGCTCAGATAATCATAATGGTTCCTTCTACCTTAACATCTAAGGCCGTGTGTAGATGAAACAAGCGGCATGTGTGCATGACACTTTAAAGTAGGTTAAATGCTTTTGCATTACTTTAATGGTGTTGGTGATGCACACATCAGTGGCGTATTATGCAGTAATTCCAGCCACTGTAGCAAATTTGGCAGTGTAATGCGCCTTAAATGACTTGGGGCACAGCAAACTAAAACTCCTCCTCCCTACAGCCGCGGAGCAAAGCACCAGGCTCTGTGTAGCTCAGGGGCTCTGCAGGAAGCCCGTGCAGGCAGCCTGGCAGCAGCCTGGGAAGACAGGCTCCAGAAAAGGGGGGGGGGCCTGTTCTTTTTTTTTTTTTCCCCATGGAGCCTGCCTGCCGGAGCTGTGCTTCCCTCTGTTGCTGCAGTGCCCCCCGGGACCACCTGAACTGGGTGCCTGCAGGCGGGTGCCACCTTGGGGGGGGGGCACCACTGCTGCAGAGGGAAGCACCAGCCCCCCACCCCTCCCCCACAGTCCACGGACCGTTTTGCAGCTCACCTTCCCCTCCCTGCTACTGTGTGTGCGCATGACACAGGGGTTTAAAGAGACCTAAATTGAAGTGGTGTCTTTATAAACACCCAACGCTTCAATTTAGGGCCCCTGTTTGATCTACACATGCCCTAACATTCTATAAGCATCCTTGTTAGCATGATGGCAGGATAATAAATATGCCATTTTACTACTGAAAAATAATTAATGAAACTGGGCCTAATGGCAATGTAATTACAAAATAACCACACTAAGTTAACCAAGTAAAGTTGTTCCCCAAATACTATAATTTGCTAGCATAAAGTGTCTCATGTTCTGCCTATACCTGTTTTCCTTGTGCTCTTCATCCATTGGCCATACGAGATGCTGTTGGCAGTTACAAACACATCTCAAAGTAGTATCTCTTCATGTGACAATGGAATTTCCAAACATATAGCCAATGTCTTCTTCTGGCAGGGTGAATATGGTTTTATCCCAAATAGGAAAAGGCCCAAAAAGAAAAATGTGTATGTTCTGTTTTGGGTGTCTTGATTAATTTGAAGATAGAATCACAGGTTGGCAGCCCATTGGTGCCTACCTCATCTAGCCCTGTGGGACAAGTGGCAGCAGTGTTACTTGCCATGATTCTGGGAGCTGTGGCAATTAAAACTGGCATGGCTCTTAGGGCTGTAG